CTCACTCTGTCGCCCAGACTGGAGTGCAGTGGCCACTCCCGGCCACCGCAGCCTCGACCTGCTGGGCTCTGGCGGTCCTTCCGCCTCAGCCTTCCAAGTAGCCGGAATTACAGGCATGCGCTACCACGCCTGGCTGATTTTTTGATTCATTGTAGAGACAAGGTCTCGCTGTCCAGGTGGGTCTTGAACCCGGGGGGTTCAGGCAATCCACTCACCTCAGCCTTCCAAAGGCGCGGGATTACAGGCTGAGCCACCGAGCCCGGCTCCAGTAAGTTTTAATAAACCAGTGTGTCTTTCCCTGCTGGACTTCCAGGTGACTTCTTAGGAATAGGTAAACATTATACACAAGCCCTGTCAGATTTGGGGTTACTGTATCACATCATGGTACTTTTTAATAGGACACTTCCACATATAACAGTTATCTTACAACAGAGGCCTTTTTGAAGTGCAGGCTAATAGGCATGTTTCACTAAAGCCCCACTGACATTGGCATCAGTTGAAATGGAGACTTACTCTTTCCCCAACCAGCTCTTCTGAGGGAAGTTCTATAGCTTCTGGCTCCAGTCACACAAACTGAGGGGAACATGAGATTTCCTCTTAGCCTTGGCTAGCAGTAGAATGCCTCTGGTCATCTGGGTCTCGGTTCCCAGCTTAGACTTCCAGCTCTCCATGCAGAGAAGCTGGTGTGGGCGGGTGTTGACTAAGGACCATATCAATACTGCTGATGGCTGGTTGGGTGCTGAAAAACCTTGGCCTACCATGGGCTTGGAAGAAGTCCACTAGGTCTCACTAGCTATTTTTCTTTTCATAGTAAATAATCCAGCGGCTTCGGTTCTTTCTGCTCGGGCCATGTCCAGAGGCCTCCCACCCTCCTCTATGGTCATTACCTCGCCTTTCTAGCTTCTAAAGGTACCTAATTTTTCTTCTTGACCATGGCCACATTTCCTGGTAGCAATAATCTAATCCTTCTGGAAGAGTGTGGGATCTAAAGTTATGATTAACATGATTAATAAATAAGATTGATGAAAAAAATCTCATTGGCTCTCACCCCTGAGCCCTTACTGTCTGTCAGCCAGAGCTTTGTTCTCTTTCCCACAGATAAGCAACTTTGTTGCCAACTATTGACTTTTTTTCCCCAGAGCCCAGAAATGGATAGAGCTTTCTTTCCTTTCCAGTATTTTATTTTGGCTATTTTAATTGGGGAAATAAGGCCTGCTGAAGATTTAATGAACTCTGGCTTCAGAGATAGCTACCCTGATATTATAGAAGTCCACAGACCTTCACTAGTTATGTGTCTCTCCATCATAGGAGTCCGAGCTCCAGATTTTCTCAGGGAGCCGAAGGTCGGGCAGGGACTGAAGAAACAGGAAACAGTTTACTTAAATACAAAGATCCTTTTAGTTAGGTCCTGTGTTCGGGAGTTCTAGGCATCCTCATTATGGAACAGTGATACTCTTGTTAAAGTCACTGATCCTAGCCCTGATTTGGGGGCCCATATCACAACAAAATGAGGATCACACAGAACCAAGACTGGAGGTGGACATGCACCCAGCCCTCTTCACTCCTAGTTAAATTGTCTTTCTGTAAGATGGCAAAGGAAACAAATAGTTTAGTGCCCCCAAGAATCCCATGTAAGACGAGGCTTTTGGGGCTTCAACCTGCTTTCCCCATTGGGACAACTGAGGATATTAAGTATTTAGTCTGTTTGACCTGGGCGTGTACCAACTGATGGACACAGCATTAATCCCTTCATGGCTGAATTGTAGGAGGGCAGACACTCTGGTGGGTGAGACAGTCAGGCTCACAGTAGTAGCTGTTTCCCTACCAGTTGGGTAGCATTTTAGTATTCCTCTTGGCATGAAGTGGATCTGATTCTCTGGCTTCAACTAGACAAAAAAGAAAATCTGTGAGTGCTTGAGGCTTCAGAGCTGTAGGTGCAGGTCTGAATGATTACAGCCTGGCTGTTTGAAAACTTTAAATAGATTAAAAGAAAAAAATTGAGATTTTGCTAAGAAACAGCAATTTGTGTTTCCTTGTCTCTCAGGCTCTCAGGCCTCCCAGGAGACATAGGAAAAGCTGCCTCTTCTCTCCCCAAATGTAGGGCTAGTCATACTAGTGAGGAGGTTTCACTTTCTATCCTTGGCCTACACAGAAAGAACTTGTGGTTGACACCATAAGGGTGTGAGATCGCTAAATTTTAGAAGTACTGAGTGCCTTAGAAATGAGCATTCATGTGTTGGTCACAAACAGCCTCATCTCTTGATGAAAACATAGCATCCAGTGGCCTTTATTCTGATTATAAGGACATATTTTAAATTTTATAGGATTGGGATGAGGTTTTCCAATAATTATCCCCAAGTTTAAGAGGGCTTTGTTCCCCATCACAAAGATGATATCCGATTTTATTTTCTTCACAGCAAATATCATTTTCTGGAATGATCTCATTCATTCATTTATGTAATTATTGCTTGGTGCCTCCAGTAAAATGCATAAGACCTCGTCTTTCTTTTTTTTTCTTTTTTCTTTTTTTTTGAGTCAGAATCTCACTCTGTCACCCAGGCTGGCGTGCAATGGCATGATCACAGCTCACCACATCCTTGACCTCCCAGGCTTAGGCAATTCTTCCACTTATGCTTAGCTGGGACTGCAAGTGGCATCAGCACGCCTGGCTACTTTTTTGACTATAGAGACAAGATCTTACTATATTGCCCAAGCTGGTCTTGGACCCCTGAGCTCAAGCAATTCTTTTGCCTCAGCATCCCAAACTGTTGGGATTACAGACATGAGCCACCATGCCCGACCTTGTCTTTGTCTTTCTTTTTTTGTGTTTTTTCCTTCAGGGCTTTTCAGACCTATGAAATTGAAAGCTGATAGGGACTAGAGGTGAGCTTGGACATAGATATAGATTTGAGCTGAAATGGAACTGATGCCTGAAGCTGAGTGACCAGTAGAAAGAGGAGTGAAAGGTAAGAGAGTTGGAACAGATATAAACAGGTGACTGCATGTGAAGAGAGTCGACACTGGTGACGTCCTATACTTTCCCCTTGCCTCCCAAAGTGGCCTTTTCTTGGCAGCTGGTCATGGCTTTTGATGTGGCAGAGGGGCTAAGCTCTCCTAAGGTGCCGGGGGGAATCTACTTTTGCTGTCCTCTTGTGTTGACACTCAATGGGGAGTCTGTTTGCTTCTTGTTTTCTTGGCTACCTAGTCATTCGTGCTGCCAGTGGTGTGGCTGCCAGACCTTGCTGAGACTCCGTGAGGTGGCTGGCATTGCAGTGGGATGCTCTTTACCCATTTGTACTTTTTGACTCTGTGTGCATGAAGGCAGAAATGGCTAGCTTGAGTCACCATGGCATGGCCTCTAGGTAGCCTGGGGCACTCTGTTGCCTGTTCTTCACCCGCCCTCATGCCCTGGTCATCTGTCTCTGTCCCTCCAGGAGGGAAGGTTTATAGGTAGGGGACTGTCACCAGGGCTTACCCTGCAAGCAGTTTAAGGAGTAGACTCCAACCTTCTGCTCCAGGCCTCTGCTTCTTGTATCAGCCTCTTGCTGTTCTGGCCCCTGTTCTTATTCTCCTATGAGAGAAGAACCTTTAAGCCAGGAGGAATCAGAGACACTGGCAGGAGTCTTCCCCTTAGCAATGACTGGGTGCCAGAGCCCCTGCTGTTGGTTTCACCTTTTTTTTTTTTTAATTGAGTTGGAGTCTCACTTTTTTGCCCAGGCTGGAGTGAAGTGGCAGGATCATGGCTTACCACAGGCTCAACTTCTTGGACTAAGGCCCAGGAAGCTAGGACGACAGGCATGCATTCCAGCTACTTCAGCCTCCCAGTTAGCTGGGACTACAGGTGTGCATCACCATGCCCAGCTAATTTTTTAAAAAATTTTTTTGCGGGTTTAAGATCTTGCTATGTTGCCTAGGCTGTCTTGAATTTCTGGCCTCAAGTGCTTCTCCTACCTTGGTCTTCCAAAGTGCTGAGATTACAGGCATGAGCCACCATGCCTGGCCTGGTTTCACTCTTGTCCTGTTCTCCTCCTGTGGCTCAGGACCTTGCTCCTGCAATGGGCCAACAGGAGGGGCAGGATGCATGAATGTAGAAGTTGCTGCAGGAGGGAGAGCCCTGACCTGGCAGCAGGAGTCCCTTCTCTGTCGGGTATCCCTACTCTGCTCTTAGAGGTGCCGGGTCCTGTGCCATCGCCTTTCCCAGCATATCTCCAACATGTCGGTCCAGCTCTGTGTCCTGGCTTCTCAGTTTTCCATTATTTCGGGTCTTCCTTGTCCTGTCCTACCTCACCTGACTCCTACTAATTCTGGGAAAGTAATTTCTCCAGGAAGCTGTTTCTAATTCTTCCCACCCCACTCCCTGGGCCCAAGACCCTTTGTTATATTCTCTCTTATGTCTCTGTTCTCCCCTAGCATGACATTCACAACGTGTAATTATGATAATGGAATTAGTTTTCCCCAATATGCAAGGCAAAATATGGGTCAGTCTTGTCTGTAGGTTTGTCCTCAACGCCTAGAACTTGATAGGCTCTTCAAGCATTATCTTTTCTTAAAACTTTTAAATCATGTATTCGGAATTAATTTTTTTTAGGTCAGGAGACAAAGAGGAGTTTGGTTGGAGCTACTGAAACAGAAGTATCTGTGTCCAGTACCCGGTTACAAGTAGGGGTCTGAAATGCAAGTCAAAAGGTCATCCTTGGGGACATAGATTTGGAAATCATTAGCAAGTTCTGGAAGGTGGCCTCCTGTGGCCCCGGCATTGCTGCCCAAATAGTCTAGATTTGGCATGATTGGAAGAATAGAATTATAAGAGATGGAAGACAGGTTCCTCATTACCATTAGGTTTGCTTTTTCCTTGGATTTATTCATTCATTTTTCATCACAGAAATGGCCTCTACCTTCAACCCCCGAGAATGTAAACTGTCCAAACAAGAAGGGAAAAGTTATGGCTTCTTCCTGCGAATCGAGAAGGACACAGATGGACACCTGGTCCGAGTGGTTGAGAAGGGGAGTCCGGCAGAGAAGGCTGGCCTCCAGGATGGAGACAGAGTCCTGAGGATCAATGGTGTTTTTGTGGACAAAGAAGAGCATATGCAGGTGAACGTGACATTTGGGGTTCCTCTTCTAGGATCTCTTCACCTCCTGCATCTTCTCTGCTGATTATATTTGGGGTCAGTAGAGTTTGGTTCTTTCCTAAGGCAGGACAACCTTATAACCATACTTTTTCTTGGCCAGTTAAGTCCCCTACAATGAGCCAAGAACTGGAAACATTATTCTTAGATTTGAATAGTCTCAGATCTAACATGCACTGCATAATCACCATATGCCAGAAATGGCACTAGGCAATTATATTCCTTATCTTGTTAATCCTCATGTGACCCTGTGAGGTATATATAAGGGAGGACCCAAAAAAGCTGGAATTATTTTTTGGAGGGTGGGTCCCTTGTAGTACAGGCTTTCCCTGCTAGATACGTGTTCTAGGAACCCATTGACATCAGTGTACCAGCTAGCGTTATTGTGAGAGGCTACATTTGGCTTCAGTGAATTTTTTGGGGAGATTCTTTCAATGTGTTTGCCCATTTCATGATGGGTGATTTACAAGCGCATCTGCCCACACAGCACTGAGTGTTCAGCAGTTTTTGACCCAAAACAGCATTACCCCTATGCCCCACTCTCCCTATTCACCCAATCTCTCCCTGAGTGACTTTTTTTGTTGTTTCCCCGGTTGAAAAAATCCTCAGAGGGAAATATTTTTGCCAATGTAGAAGAATTGAAACAAAAAATGGCAGAAGCACTAAAAGTCATCAAAATTGATGAGTTCAGAAACTGTTTAGAGCAGTGGAAAAAGCATCTCAATAGGTATATTGCATCAAATGGAGAGTACTTTGAGGGTGACTGAAGTTTAAACATGTAAGAATAGATACAAAATTTTTCCAAATAATTTCTGGGTTTGTTTGGGTCCCCCCTCATATCACCATCTCAGAGATTAGGAAGATAAGCACAAACAAATATTCATGCTGTGAATATATGGGAGGGTCTGGCCTTTCCCCCTTATTTCTTTCCCTACTTGCAAGCTAATAAGTGACCTTACCCCACTCTGCCTGACTCCAAGTGGGCTCTCTCTTCACTACCCCATGCTGTCCCCATAGACTTAGGAGGACCTATTATGCTTTAGGGCAGAATTCATCTCTAGAAAAGACCAGGTCTTGGGGTTGACTATACTCTAGATTCCAACAGTGCCAGAGGTTCAGCCTAAGTTGCATATGGAATGGAAGTGGCTGGGTACTGTTTGCTTCTACTTGGGTAGGAGGGGCCAGCTATCAGAATCTCTAGGTCCAGATACCAAGCTAGATGGTGAGCTTTTCCCTCTGGTAGTTGATAGAGTGTTAATAGTTAAAGTTGACTGGGCATGGTGGCTCACACCTATAATTCCGGCACTTTGGGAAGCTGAGCAGGAGGATTGCTTGAGCCCAGGAATTCAAGACCAGCCTAGACAACACAGTGAGACCTCATCACCACACCCACACCCCCCCCACAAGCCAGATGTGGTGGTGTGCACCTGTAGTCCCAGCTATTTGGGAGACTGAGGTGGGAGGATCGCTTGAGCTCAGGAATTGGAAGCTGTGGTGAGCCGTAATCATGCCACCGCACTCCAGTCTGGGTGACAGAGTGAGACCTCGACTTAAAAAAAAAAGTTAAAGTAATATGTCTCTTCTTTCCTCCTAGGTTGTGGATCTGGTCAGAAAGAGTGGAAATTCAGTGACTTTACTAGTTCTGGATGGGGATTCCTATGAGAAAGCAATAAAAACACAGGTGGACCTGAAGGGATTGGGTCAGAGTCAGAAGGAGCAAGGCTTGAGTGATAAGGAACTGCCCCCTGTAATGAATGGAGGAGTGCAGGCTTGGACCCAGCCGCGGCTCTGCTACCTGGTGAAAGAGGGGAACAGCTACGGCTTCTCTCTGAAAACTGTTCAAGGTGAGCCTGAGGGTGGGGCACTGACAAGCCTTCCAGAAGCAAGGCGTTGCTATTGGCTAATGACGTTTCTTCTTTGAGCGACTTTTCAGTGGCCATAGATATCACACACAACAGCTTCACGCTCTCTTCCCTCCTTCCTCCCTTCCCTTTCCCTTGCCTTACACAGTTGTGCAATGGCCATCAGAACATTGGAGAGCAGTAGAGTGGCAGTGGGTAGAAGGCAGACCAGGCACTCCTGTCCCTGAGTGTCAGGTTGACATTTTCAGGCCCTTTTAGGTTAGAGGGTTGATATTAGTTTGTTATTCTTTTATAGCTTCCTTGGGGTGAAGATGGAAGGGAGAATAGGAAATAAGGGGCAAGAAAATGAGATTCTTCATAATAGCTACCTTTTTTTTTTGAGTTGGGGGTCTTATCCTGTTGCCCAGGTTGGAGTAGACTACTGCTGCCTTGACCTGCCGGGTTAAGGGGATCCTCCCCACCTCACCTCCCAAGTAGCTGGGACTGCATCACCAATACCCAGCTAATTTTTTTTCCGAGCCAGGGGTCTCCACTCTGTCACCCAGGCTGAAGTACAGTGGCATGATCACGGTTCACTGCAGTCTTAACCTCCTTGGGCTCAGGCCATCTTTCCACCTCAGCCTGCCAAGTAGCTGAGACCATAGGTATACACTGCCATGCCAGGCTAATTTGTGTGTGTGTGTGTGTGTGTGTGTGTGTGTGTGTGTGTGTGTGTGTGTGTGTAGATGAGGTTTCACTATGTTGCCCAAGCTAGTCTCGAACTCCTTGATGTGTACAATCCTCTTGCACTGACCCCCCCAAAGTGCTGGAATTACAGACAAGAGCTATTATGCCTGGCCTAAGTTTTTGATTTATTTGTAGACAAGTCTCATTCTGTTGCCCAGGTTAGTCTCAGATTCCTGGGCTTAAGGAGTTTTACATTGTGAGCCATTCTGAGCAGTACGATGGAATCTAGCGCTGTCCTGCTGTGCCTGCCCTGGAGGCGAATCTTCCCTTTGTCCTGCATCTCCAAACTGCATATGCTGCCTGCCAGTCACTTAGTACTTGGTTATCAGATTAACTGTCATGGCACTGCAGTACTTGTGTTCAAGTAACCATTATTTTACTTAATAATGGCCCAGCACAGAAAGACAAATATTGCATGTGCTCATGTGGGAGCTGAAAAAGTTGATCTCACAATAATTCCCAGAGCCTGGAAAGGGTGTGTGTGTGTGTGTGTGTGTGTGTGTGTGTGTGTGTGTGTGTGTGTGTGTGTGTGTGGTGTGTATGTAGATGGAGCTGTTAGGAAATGAAGAGAGATTGATGAATGGTTGGATGGTTACAAACATACGGTTAGATAGGAGAAGTATGTTCCAATGTTCAGTGACACAGTAGGGTGACTATAGTTAACAACAATAGAGTGTGTATTTTAAAATAGCTGTTAGAGAAGATTAGAAATGTTCTCAACACAAAGAAGTGATGAATGTTTAGGGTGATGGATATCCTGAACATCCTGATTTGTTCATTATACATTCTATACATGTATCAAAATATCACATGTCCACTGTAAATATGTACAAATACTATGTATCAATAAAAAAAAGTCCAAAAGTAGTGATGTTGGCAATTTGGATATGCTGAAGAAAAGCTATGAAGTGCTTCTGTTAAGTGAAAAGTTTGCAACTTAATAAGGAAAAATAAAATATCGTACACTGAGACTGCTAAGATCAGCTCAGTTATTGTTAATTTCTTACTGTGCCTAATTTATAAATTAACTTTATCATAGGCATGGATGCATAGGAAAAGAAAACATGTAGGGTTTGGCAGATTGTCTGAATTGCAGGTCTCTGCTGGGGGTCCTGGATTGTATCCCCTGTGGATAAGGGAGAGGTACTGTATGAATATCTTGAAAAGATTGACAGCATTTCTTTTTTTTTTTTGAGTTGGAGTCTCACTCTGTTGCACAGACTGGAGTGCAGTGGCTGCTCCCGGCCACCGCAGCCTCGACCTGCTGGGCTCCAGCGATCCTTCGGCCTCATCTTTCCAAATAGCTGGAACTACAGGCACGTGATACCACACCCAGCTAATTTTTGATTTATTGTGGAGATGAGATCTTGCCAAGTTGCCCAGGCGGGTCTCGAACCCGCGGGCTCAGGCAATCCACTCACCTCAGCCTCCCAAAGCGCAGGATTACAGGCTGAGCCACCGAGACCAGCTGACAGCATTTCTTTCTTTCTTTTTCTTGAGTTGTAGTCTCACTCTGTCACCCAGCCTGGAGTGCAGTGACCGATCCCAGCCACCGCAGCCTCTACCTGCTGGGCTCTGGCGATCCTTCCACCTCAGCCTTCCACGTAGCTGGAACTACAGGCGCACGCTACCACGCCCGGCTAAATTTTTGATTTATTGTGGACATGAGGTCTCGCCAAGTTGCCCAGGCAGGTCTCGAACCCCGCGGGCTCAGGCAGTTCACTCACCTCAGCCTCCCAAAGTGCCAGATTACAAGCTGAGCCACCGAGCCTGGCTAGTATTTCTTTAAGTAGCACTGATATCGATTGCGCCAGCTAAGCGCAGGCGTACTTTTCCCTCCCTCCTGTTCCTCTGTCCCTATCAACCAGCATCAGTGAGACTCACTGACTCCATTGATGTCTGATAGTTGTTGACAGTACTAATTAATGAGGAGGGCATGGGGCAGAGGCTTTCTAGTTCCACAAATGCAAAGAAAGGAAGCAAGACATGATGATGCAGCTCGGGCCTGGTTTGGTATTTTCTGGTTCAAGAGGTCAACGCCACCTGGGATTCTCTCTTTGCCTTTACTTGAGCTCAGAAATTCCACTCAAATCAACAAACACCCCCCAAGTAATGGCCAAGTCAAGCATTGGGCTAGGAGCTACAGCCGTCATTCTAGATCAGAAGCCAAAGGCTATTTGAGTTAGCTTTAAAGTGGGAAGTTCTACTTTCATACTATTAGGAGAAACCCCTTTACTACTGGGCTCTAGTTTTCTGTGCAGTGGGGTGTTCTGTAAAAGGGCTGGGTATGCTAAGTAGCCCCTGAATGACCAAAAAGTCGAGAACAAAAGAGCAAGGCAGATGAATTCAGTTTGTTCTTGCAGGGTAATTTACTAGGGAAACCTAAGGACAGAAGTGTTGTCTTGGGCGACCACAAGACAGATAGCACGCTGCACTACTTCTCCTCAGACCCAAGGCTCATGTACCATAGGGCAAGGGGATACATGCTCTAGCAAGACAAAAACAACCCCCCAGAACAGGCAAGAAATCTGTAGGCATCGAGCGTATAATCTGTGTGATGATATCAAGGGTGCCATGTTCTTACACTAAGAACAGTAAATACAGTAGGACTCGGGGACAGGCCTGAGACTGGGGCTAAACAGAAGTCAACATGTGGATTAGCATCCAAGATGGATTCACTTTTGTCTCCACATGGAGTTCACTACCTACTCTTTCCCAGGTAAAAAGGGAGTGTACATGACTGATATAACACCTCAAGGTGTGGCTATGAAAGCTGGAGTCCTGAATGATGATCACCTGATTGAAGTGAATGGAGAGAATGTGGAAGATTCTCGCCACGAAGAAGTGGTTGAGAAGGTATGCCCCAAAGGAGTGCTTTCCTCCTGTCTTTTACTCTATTCTCCTTGGCAGTGACAGGAAGATGGGTGGTAGGCGCTAGGATGAGTTTATGACAAGGAATATCCAGCTGATTTGCTCCTTCGTATTAATGGTGATCAGCCCCGCACTAGTGGCATAAGTGGCGTTAACACAGGATTTTGAAATAAGGCCTTCCCTGGTTTCACAAGAGTTCTAAACAATTAACTTTATCTTTTGGATCTGATTGTACCTCACTGGGAGCCTCTTCTCTGAATTTATAATAAATTCATTGCTGAGCAGATGATCTGGGGGTCTTGGAATGTATCCCCATGGATAAGGGGAGACTGCTAATTTAGTATCTTTAAAGGATTGCAGCATCCAATGGAAAGTTTGGGTGGGAAGTGGAAAGTAGCCGATGTGGTAGTGGGCATAGAGAGCTACACATGCAGAATATTGGAAGGACTGTTATCCCAAATCTTATGTCCCAGTCTGGTTGTATAACACATGAAAAACACTCTGAGATTTTCCTTTGAGGCCGTATGGAATTTTTTTTTTTTTTTAGTTGGGAGTTTCACTCTATTGCACAGGCTGGAATGTAGTGGTGTTATAATCACATCTCACCACAGCCTTGACCTCCTGGCCTCAGATGATCCTTCTGCCTCAGCATCCTGGGTAGTTGGGTCTAAAGGTACATGCCATCATGCCCAGATAACTTTTTGATTTTTTTTTTTTTTTTTTGTAGAGACGAAGTCTTGCTATGTTGCTTAGGCTGGTCTCCAACCCTTGGGTTTAGGCAATCCTCCTGCCTTGGCCTCCCAAAGAGTTGGGATTACAGGCATGAGCCACGATGCTTGGCCAGGAATCCTAAAAAAATTTTTTTTTAAAATGGCTTCTTGGCTTCAAGAGGTACTTATTTAACTCAGGAGTGAGTGACTTGACTTCTGTTTCATTCCAGTGCCTTTCTTGGCCTGATAATTTAAAGGGGTTCACATTCTTCAGATAAAAATTTATTTCTTCCCACATCCATGTGCTACTACTGCAGTATTATTAGTTACTTAACATTTTTAAGCTCTTTGAGACTTCTTACCTTAATTTATTCCATGTGTTTTTCTTTCTTTCTTTTTCCTTGTAGAGATAAGATCTCGCTATGTTGCCCAGGCTGGTCTCAAACTCCTGACCTCAAGTAATCCTCCAGCCTTGGCATCCCAAAGTGCTGGGATAACTCTGGGGTCATGAACCACTATGCCTGGCCTGGAATCTTAAAAATTGACCAACCTTCTCTTCTTTTCATAGAATGATTTTTCAAGGTAGACCTTCTTTTCTTTTCTTTTCCAAACTTCTATTTTAGCCTTCATGAACTACATACTTTTCTGAGTTTTCTGAAATCCAGCTCTTACTTGTGTTTACATGTGGGTGAGGTCATACTTATAGGGAGAGACAACTGTAGAAGTGGCGCTAGATAAAGACCAGTTAGGTTGTAGGAAGTTGTATAACTGCTTAAACTCAGGCCTTGCAGCTGGGTTTTCTGTTGTTTTCTGTTGATCTAGAGACTGTGCCTTTGCATAGAAACTTTCCTATTCCCCAGGACTGTTCTTGGGGGTCAATATCATTCCTCATCTGTGTGTGCTGTTGCAGGTAAAGAAGTCAGGAAGCCGTGTCATGTTCCTGCTGGTGGACAAAGAAACTGACAAGTGCCACAATGAGCAGAAGATACAAGTCAAAAGGGAAACAGCCAGTCTGAAACTGCTACCCCACCATCCTCGAGTTGTGGAGATGAAGAAGGGAAGCAATGGCTATGGTTTCTATCTGAGGGCAGGCCCTGAACAGAAAGGTAAGGCACTGAGGAGCCAGGAACTTGGCAGGGTAAACAACCAGTTCTTCGTCCCAATCTGATTCCAGAGTTCATTAGGCTCCCAACTCTCCAGCAAATGCATGAGGGGAACAGCAAGAAATTAGAAGGCAATGCTGGGTCCATTTCCAGGTCCCCTGAGGGCCAGATATTGAGCATCGTAGTTTCCACAGCAGAATGATAAGGCAGGATTTGGGATCTGGGCAATGGGGTGCTGGAATTGGCTCTCTGAAAAAAAGAAGTCCTACTTGGTAGCACTGGTTAATTTTTGTGATGTCAATACTCCCTTCACATTCAGTTTCAAGCCACCAACATGATGTTACTGAACACAATGTTAAGGGATGTCACATGGAACTGGCTCTTGTGAACTGGTGTGAGCAGTTGAGGGCAAGGTCTGAGGGCAAGGTGCAGGTCAGGATCTGGGACTCAGACAGAGCCAGGAGTCGTTTTGCTTCCTCGTAACACAATGGGAAAAGCACTAATGTCTTTTCAGGGAAGGCAAGCACATAAAAAGTGTGTGGGTTCAGGCCATATAAACTGTTATTCACCCAGAAATAGCCATTTTATTTTCATTATATATGTCTACATTAATCAAATATTAATTTGGTTCATATTTTATAAAAACATCCTCAGGGGCTTTGCAAATCAGATAGAAATTGTTTATTCAAGGAGCCTGCTATTTAGTGGAAGAGATAAGAGACAAGTCTGTAACTAAAGGTAGAGAGTGATAAGCATCTTAATACATGGGCAGTTAAATGGCTATGGTAAATCAAGGTTAGAGCAAGCTTTTCTCACTAAAAAAAAGATACTACTGGCCTCATAGAAAAGATGATGCTTGAATTCAGACCTTGTAGCATGGCTCGAATTTGGGAAAGTAGATCGATCATTCCAGGAAGGTAGGAGTCATGTGAACAAAGTCAGGAACATGGCCACAGTTGACTGGCTTCTGATGTGCAGTGCAAGAATCCCAGTTAGAAGGGTAGGTTGGAAAGATGAGGCGGGAACTTGAACTCTAGAATGAGGAGTTTGAACTTGGCGCATTGATCAATGGAGTTAAAAGTTTTTTGAGCAGTGTGAGGGAGAAGAAAAAAATTAAGCCTATAGTGTCTTGGGGCTTTATACATCAAAATTTTTCCTAACAATTCTACAAGAAGCGTGGCTGAAATAGTGGGCTTGGAGAAGATCCAGTAATTATGTAAAGTCAAATCATTGCCATTAGTTCCAAAGTCCATGCTTATTCTATTATTACTGGGGAGTGACTTGATCAGACATGTGTATTAAGATAGGTCTGAAGGCAGGCCTGTGTCGAAGGGAAGGACTGGGGGAGTTAGAGCACTTAGTAAAGTGCTGAGACAGCATAGGTAGAATTCTAGGCAGACACGAATACAAACTGCATTTGGGGTAGAGGCGGGGAATGTGTCATTATTAAGGCAGCATCAGAGGACTTAGCACTGATATAAGCAGTGGATGCTGAGGAAGAATCAGTTGCCAACTGTTGGTGACTAGGGGGACAGTGCTCCACTAGCAGGTGACCAAGAAGAGAGACTTTGGGATGGAGGATAGACAGAGCTGATTTTTGGGTTGAGTACATTATGTTTGAGGAATCTATGAGATATCTTATTGGGTATACCCAGAAGCTAACTGAAAAAGCAAAACTGGAGCTTGTCAAAATAGCGTGAAGGACAAAAAAAAAAAAAAAAAGGTGTGAGAGCTCTGGAGACTTCTGGTAAAGATAGTTGAAGTTAGTCAGAAGAAGGCTAAAGGCACATCCTTGAGATTGGTATATACACTCACATCCACAACTGAATATACTCAATTGCACTAAAATGCCAGCATGAGTTTTTTAAGGGCCAATGTTTTTGTTTTATTCTTTATTCTTCCTTTCCCCCTTGTTATGGCTTAGCTTCTGTATAGGAGGTATGGATACAAGCATGCCCATTGACTTCCTGGGAACTTGCAGACCTGTAATGCTTAGGACACTATTTTAAGATTGGATGTCAGACACAGTTAGTAATGACATGATTCTTTCCTTTAACACTCTCTTTACATTGTGAATGGCTGGGTTAGTTCCTAGAGTGAGTTCTGAGCTGGAAATAAGCCCAGATAGCCTGCTGATAAGCTTCCTGGCAGGCTGAAGGAAGAGACAGTGGTTGTACTTGGGATCCTTTTTATATCTACTTTATCAGGGCCTTGGACTGTAGAAGAAATCCCAGTTTATTTGCTTAGGAGCCTTTCTGACAATTTTATTTGGGGGGGTTGTAGGTCAAATCATCAAGGACATAGATTCCGGAAGTCCAGCAGAGGAGGCTGGCTTGAAGAAAAATGACCTGGTAGTTGCTGTCAATGGAGAGTCTGTGGAAACCCTGGATCATGACAGTGTGGTGGAAATGATTAGAAAGGGTGGAGATCGGACTTCACTGCTGGTGGTAGACAAAGAGACGGACAACATATACAGACTGGTAAGTAATACGAGACCACATATGGATGCATTGTGGTTGGGCCTATTCACTCCTGCCTGCAAACTTTGTGCCGAGTCACTACTTTGTTTTTCAGACTGAGAGGGGCATAGATAGGAATCATCATGAAGGCTGAACCGAAGTTGAAACTGGTAGTGATAAGAGAATGCCAAGTGATTGGTAAATGAGTTTTAAGTCCTCGGACTTAACATTTTGAAAGAATTTGTGAATATAACTGCAGACTTACTCTTGTGATCTGAGAAAACCAATGGAGAACAGAAGACTGGAAATAAAATTGTTCCCCAAATAGGGAACAACTGGATTTTAAGCTATAGATCAATAAATTCCACCAGTCTCATGTAAAAGCCTGCTTGTAAGCCCTTAGCAGTTGAGGGAAGTGGAAACAGATGGACTGAGACTGAGGTGAAGCAAACTAACCTCACAACTCTTAATCTTAACACTATTGCCTGTTTTAAGGTTTTATAACACTTTTACTTTAACATAAGAACTGAGGTTCAGTCTAGTTTAACATATCTGGGGGCCTGGTGAGGTGTTGGTCATAAAGATGAGTAAGATAAAATGGTCCTTGTTCTATGTGATCTACAATAACAGAAGCATCCAAAATAAATGATACAGAGGTAGGAATATTGCGGGTGGTGGTATTAGCTTTTTATAGATTAGTCAACTGAAACTTAGACTAAGTGATTTGCTAGAGTCACCCAGCTTAGTAAAGACTGAAGCCAGTATTTGATCCCATGTTCTTGGGCTCTTAATTCCTTATACTGTGTTCTTCACATTTTAATAGATATTTCAAAATAATCTTGTAAACAAGATTAAACAGTGAACTGAATAAAAAAATCAATGAGTTCTAGCTAGTTGAACAATCATACCTAGAAAACACTTGTTATTAGAACAATGTCAACCTGGACAGAAGTCTTTAATGGTATGCTATTTGTTTCTATCCTAAACTAGTTTATTAAATCTGAATGGAGGCATGGAAAACTTATTTAACATCCTTTCAGAAGACTTAAAGTGGTAATTAGTTTGCTGGAGGGTGTGATTAGTATTCAAAATATAGTCAGGATAGAAAGAAGATTAAAAGCTAGTAAGAACCAGGAATAAATTTAAAGTACTATACCAACTTGAAGGTAAACTGTATGCATACCAAACGGCGAGACCTGATTTGATGACTATAGAAAAAGATCAGAAACTTGATAATGCTCCAAGTAGCTGCCCCCACTCAAAAAAGGCAATTTAAAGTTACATTAATTGTCACTTGGCTTCTGGAGACTCTCATTACTCTACTGACTTGGTCAGGCCATACTTGGAATTAATGGTAAGGTAACCTTGGGCATGTTATGCTTTCTGTGCCTCAGTTTCCTTAGTTGTAAAATGGGAGTAGAGCTACTATGAAGGGTGACATCGAAGGTTAAATGAGAATATTTAGAATGTACAGAATAATGTCTCACATGTATAAATGTTAGGTTTGTTTAATATTCAGTTCTGAGAACCTCACTATAAGAGGGCCAGCAGCAAGAAAGACAACCAGGGAAGAGGTGTTGGAAGCCACCATATGAGTATTTAGTTGGAATAAGAAGGCTTTGGAGACGAAAAGAGAGCATGTTCAAACATCTGAAAGTCAATCACATGTGAGGAGTGCTTATTTTTTAAAGGTGGTCTATGGGGCACAGCTGGGCCAAGGACGAAGGTACAGGGAGCTAGCTTTTGGCTTAAGAACAGCTGAAGCTGCCAGAGATGGGGTGGATCATATCCAAGTTGGAGGAAAAGTCAAAGCAGAAATCAGAGGCTGTTGCTCTAGTTGTAGAGGGGACTCTGACAGCAAGTCCTTCTGACTCCTCATCTTATGACAGAATGATCTCAGAATGACTTAGCTGTATGTTTTCTGTTTTGGTTCATATGAGAGAGAACTCTGACCTAAAAAGATTCCTTCATCATCTTCTTCCTTCCTTCCTGAAGCAAGCTCCTCAGTTAGGGTGGAGGATGGATCTTTGAAATCTATCAGTGAATAAAATGAACACCTATACGAGTTCCTGGCACATACTAGCTACCCAAATATTTGAATGAAGAATGAATAAAATCTCATTGTTTAAATGTTACTGTACTTTGCCTCAAGACAAGCTGCTATGGCAGATACTGTTAGTTTGCTTGTTTGGGTAGTGCTCTCAGAGGTATTTTTGTATGTAATGAGTCACTTTGATAATTTTCCACATTTTAGAGACAGAAAGACTCCAACTGTGGAACATTTGACTGAAAAGTCTGAGTTAGTTGAACTGGGTAACTAGGAGGTTCTATGCTGGTGCTACTCTTATGCAGAAAGGAAGGAGATGTGGTCTGTGGTTAACAAGACAGATGATAACCAAAGGACCCCAAATCTAATTTTAGCCAGGCTGCTGCACAGTGTGATCTGACGTACAGCACACACTGTACTCACCTTTAAGTGCTTGATTTCCTATTCATTGCCGAACAACTTTTCTAGACACTTGTGGGCAGCAATTTAACTGCTGATGCAGGGTAACACCATACCCAAATCTACCCTACTAACCCTCTCAACTGAAATCCACAGCCAGCGAAATGTTTAATTCTATTAACAAATCAATCATGTTTCCCACTCTATGTCACTTTTGTATTCAAAATCATCACTGCTTTCTTCATGTGTATGATCTGGGAGTTTAGATGAATTAGAAGTATTTGAAGATGGTTGGGAGCTTGGTGTGACAAAATTGAGTACAACAGATCTCAGGACTGGAAGGGAGGTGGGGGTTGGCAGAGTAGCAAAGAGTTGGAATTAACTTTTGTTACAGTATGTGACCATATGATACCTGCCACCTTGCCCCCAATTATGACTGTGTGTCTGGGTTGAGAGAGAAGGGGGGAGAGAGAGAGACAGACACAGAGACCCTGAGGTCCAGTAGTATGGTCCAGTTCAAGTCCAAAGGTCTCAGAACCAGGTGAGCCAATGGTATAAACACTGTCTGAGAACCTGGGGGGCTGTTAGTAGTCCAAAGGCCTGGAGTCCAAAGGCCAGGGAGCCTGAAATTCTGATGTCTAAGGACAGGAGAGGAAGAGTTATAGATTGACACCCTTGCCTTTTCTGTTTTGACACCCAGCCAACAGATTGATACTCTTATCTTTTCTGTTTTTGTTCTCTATCTGGGTCCCTAGTTGGTTGGATGGTACCCACCCACACTGAGGACTGATCTTCTCCACCCAGTCCACTCAGACTCCCATGCTAATCTCCTCTGGAAAGATCCTCACAAACGCATCCCCAAATAATGCTTTACCAGGTTTCAAGGCATTCATCCAGTCAAGTTGGCACCTAAATTTAACCATAACAAGTGTCCTGTGTTTTACTTTCTCTAATGTGTTTAAGGAGCTCTGAAGACCATCTCACTGAAGGGGAAGGGCTAGAAGAACCTACTAGCATGAGACCCTAGGCTAGTCACTCAGATGTATCACCTTTCAATAGGGGCATTATGAATGGGTTGTTCAATAATTTGCTCACTATCACAGAGTCGGAAAACGCTAGTAATTCTGTTAGCCATCTTTTTGGATCTTTGTACACTGTTCTATGCTGCTTTTATTTTATGCACATGTATGTATTTGTGGACATGCTTATCTATATTACTCCATAATGAAACTCAATCTTTTATACCTTTCCTGGTTAGGGCAGTAGAGAGATTTTACAGCTTACAGTCAGATGCATGGAGCGGAACATGTATACCTTACAAATCAGCATATGTAATAAAGTATAACTACTCATACTTAAAATTAAGTCAAAATATTTTTCCTTTATTTTCAACAGGCTCATTTTTCTCCATTTCTCTACTATCAAAGTCAAGATCTGCCTAATGGCTCTGTCAAGGAGGCTCTAGATCCTATCCCTGCTTCTCTGGAGGTCTCAAGTTCGGATACCACAGAGGAAGTAGATCATAAGCCTAAACTCTGCAGGCTGGTTAAAGGTGAAAATGGCTATGGCTTTCACTTAAATGCGATTCGGGGTCTGCCAGGCTCATTCGTCAAAGAGGTATGGTTACCTGGTTCCAGCAGCCCAACAAACACAGCCACAATTAGGATAGTCTCAGCTTCTCCCACCCATTGATGGCTTAGTAAAAAGGTTATACTGAAGGCCTATATTGAGGGTCTCACTTGGGGTCAGAAAAATGCTGTCATGGTTCCATATCCTTTAAGTTAGCTACTAGCACACCAGAAGCTCACATCTTTTGCTTCCCAAGCATTGTTCCACCTGTCTCTAGACACTTTCAAATCAAACAGTTTAATGACTCTAGTTGACAGTCACTACCAACCCTGACTGGGAGTGATTCTTGTTTGCTTCTGTGTATTTGGCATAATGCTCCTACCTTGCAGGGACTGACAATGAGAAGAGTATCCCTATACAGGGACTGACAATGAGAAGAGTATCCCTATAGGTCTCAAGCTGGGAGTAAAGGGTGGGGGCACCTGTGAAACCTCATGCCTTCAGCCAGACATCCAATGTGATATTCAACTACTATTTAAAACACTACACATTTGATTATGGAAATTGTACCTTTCTTAAGTAGAAAAGTATTAGAGCACCTTTCTCAACTTCTGTACCTCACGGAGAAAGAATGACATGGCTAAGAATAAATTCTCAAACTCTTCATCTGTCCTCTGAAGGAGAGCTAGTTTAACATGCCCTTGTCCACATTGGAACTGATAACTTAGCACCTGTGTTCACAGGTACAGAAGGATGGCCCTGCTGACTTGGCTGGACTGGAGGATGAGGATATCATAATTGAAGTGAATGGGGTGAACGTGCTGGATGAAGCCTATGAGAAGGTGGTGGACAGAATCCAGAACAGTGGGAACAATGTCACACTCTTAGTCTGTGGAAAGAAGGCCTTTGATTACTTCCAAGCTAAGAAAATCCCCATTGTTTCCTCCATGGCTGATCCACTGGATGCACCCCTGGATCCCAAAGAAGGAACATTAATGGAGTCAGAGCATGACTCGCACGTGGCAAAAGAACGAGTGAGTGTTGATACATTTCTTTTAGTGATCTAACCTGCCAGAGTATGGTACAGTCCCTAGTATGTATACTTAACATCCATGTTTACCACAGATTTTAAAGAAACTTAAAAAAGGACAATGTAAAGATAATTAACAGCCGGGCTCGGTGGCTCGGCCTGTAATCCCACGCTTTGGGAGGCTGAGGTGAGTGGATTGCCTGAGCCCGCGGGTTCGAGACCCGCCTGGGCAACTTGGCGAGACCTCATCTCTACAATAAAATAAAAAAACTAGCCACTTGGAAGGCTGAAGCAGAAGGATCGCCGGAGCCCAGCAGGTCAAGGCTGCGGTGGCCGGGAGCGGCCACTGCACTCCAGTCTGGGCGACTGAGTGAGACTCCAACTCAAAAAAAAAAAAAAAAAAAAAAGATAATTAACAAATCAAGTTACTGTTGAGGACAGGGGGTGGCATAAGGACAACAGATTTCTTATTTTCATAGCATGCAGTTGACAACAATTGTCTAGAGTCAATAAATCAAGAAGTAGAAGTAAGAAGTTTATCAAAATTATAATGAGGAACCACCAGAACTTGAATCAGACTATCTAGGTACAAATTCTGGTTCTGTCATTTATCAGCCTTGGGCAAGTTGATTTATTTGCTATTTCACTCTTATAAAACAGGGATAGCCAGGCTCAGTGGCTCAGCCTATAATCCCAGCACTTTGGGAGGCTGAGGCAAGAGGATTGCCTGAGCCTGTGAGTTCGAGACCCACCTGGGCAACTTGGTGAGACCTCGTCTCTACAATAAATAAATAAATTAGCTGGGCGTGGTAGCATGCGCCTATAGTTCCGGCTACTTGGAAGGCTGAGGCGGAAGGATCGCTGGAGCCCAGCAGGTTGAGGCTGCAGTGACTAGGAGTGTGCCACTGCCCTCCAGCCTGGGTGACAGAGTGAGACTCCAACTCAAAAGAAAAAAAAAAGGGTAATTTGTAGGATTGTTATCAGAATTATATTAACTAAGATGATATTAACTGCATTAAAGTGCTTTGAACAATGCTTGGCTCTCAGCATGTGAATGGTGATGGTTAGGGACAGTATTGTTTTTAAATAATTGACAGATATTCCAAGTTTTATAACTAGGAAAGATTAAGCATTATTCTGTATATATTTTGATTAAATTTCTTGGTAAGTCTCAGATTTATATTTTTGTCTGGTTTCTTTCATATATGATGTTGAAGTCCAAAACTAAACTGACTTATCCAAGTTTGTAAAGAAAATGTATGGCAAAGCCAGGACTTTAAAAGTTTAATATTCTTCTTTACATGATATTGATTTCATTCTGATTAGTGATATAAATAACAAATACTCATTTTAATGATCACATCCAATAATCATTGACTTTGTATTCTGGAATGCTTAACCAAGAAAGTAATTCTAGTTTTTAAAAAATTATATCATTTCTCTATAGGAAATCAATTGTAGTACTATACTAAACTCATCAAAAAGAAAATAAACATTAAGAGATCTGTTGATGTGTCAAGCAGCAGTTGAAAACAAAGCCAAGTGTAGAATTCAGGCTGCGTGGCTTCTAGCAAGTGACTCTACTCTCTGAGTTAAGTCATGCAACTCTAGGATAGACCATCCCTTTCCCAAAGTTCACACTGCCACTTGTCAACTCGTTGTTTTCTTTTGCACAGGCCCACAGTACAGCCTCACATTCTTCTTCCAATTCTGAAGATACAGAGATGTGATGAGAACAAATAATGCCTCTGGCTGATTGCTGTTTCTGGGTATTTAATAGGAATCCTTTCTCAAGAAATGAGGTGCCACCTGTTTACTGTCTCTGTTAGAGAACAAACTCCTAGAAACCATTCATCATGTGTGATTGTCTTCTGTTGTCATGTATCTTAGCGTGGCTATTGCAGATGACTTATTTATGCTCAACTTAGGAAGAGCTAAAGTGGGAACCAGATTCTTTTCATGAGATATCTTCCAAGCTGCAACTTAACTACATTTCTTTGATGATGATGTCTTTTCTATAGGTTTCTTAAGCACCAAAGATGATTCATAAATCTGTATATGTGAGAGCTGCTAATTAAAGTAACTGAGCAGATAAGCCTATCAAAATTATGAATTTGTAATAATGTTGTGGTTGCTAGAATAAATACCATGAAAAACGTCTTTTGAGTGTGCTTGAAACTTCCTGTTAGCTGGTATAACCTTAATAGGGCTTTTTTTTGGATATACTTTTTATGCTTTAACCTTCATTTGCCTCTAGAAACCCAAGACACAATGAAGTACAGAATAAGACCTTAGTAATAAAAGGAGATGTCAAGGTATAAAATTCAGGACTTTCTTAACTTGCATTTCTGAGTATTCTAAATATTTCCAACATTTTCCTTTTTCACTGAAATTGAGTCCCAGGATAGGAAAGAGACTTATTCCAGTAACAGTTATTCACCGTTTCATTCCATGGCATGAGGGACAGATCGAAAGGAAAAATAGTGACATCATTACTGAATTGAATGTCGGGTATTTACTCTTAAATCATAAGTTAAGAGGAAATTAAGAAAAATGACAAACTTGAAGTCTCTCTTTTGGAAGAATCTATTTCAGTTGCACACCATCCCTTTCTCAGAAAAGTATAACCTCTTGGTTATTTGAATGGGGCAGGGGTCAGGGGAGAAGAGGTGGGATGCTAAATCATGTAAGATCACACAAGCATAATACCAAGCTATGCTTGACAAATGAACCTAAGACCAAGATGTCAAAATCTTTGATTTTAATGATGATCAATTTCAAGAGCAAGCCATAACCTTCTCTGTGTGAACCTTAAAACAGAAGTCCTATGTGTCTGGCCCAGCTTCCACAGACATCTCTTGTCTCAGAGTTCCAGTGTATTTTTTCCCTCTAATTTCTTGGCTGTTTCTCCACATTCTCCTCTACCTCTTGCATTTGCACCACTCTGCTGAGAGCATCTGCCTTGAGATACTCCTCCCCCTTGTGTTCTAGCTGGTGTTACTCATGACCACATCTGAGGAGGAAGGAGTGTGCTGGAGGTAAAAAATGCTACCACAGCATTTTGTTTAAAAAATATCAGACCCTGGTCACTTCCATTTTTTTCCCTTTTACATCCAAATTCTGACACCACTGGCCTCTAACAGTCTGCAACAGGTCTGAGTTCAAGGTGCCATATGCTTCTCTGGTGCCTGTTTGTGAGCCAAATAAAGGAATAGTATGCTGGAGAGAGCGCTGACCAGGAAGATCACATCAAACCAACGGTGATAGAAGTTGAACTGCAGTTCTCCAAGGACTTCAGTGATTATGGTGCGGTATTCTAGAGGCATACTCATTCGGATCAGAAGCACAGAGGAGACAAAGTACATGCCCTGTAAGTCAAACAAATTAATACAGAAGTTATCCTGAATGAAGTGAGGGGCATGTCAAAGGAAATTGTTAACATATTTAAACGTATAAAACAAATTTCTGGTATTTTACAGCTGTGATCATAAAGCTGGTTCATTCTTACCATTATCTGTGCTAATAGCAGGACAATGACATTGGAGGACTTACTGCTGGAGATGGCATAAAAGAACTGTCAAGAAAGGGAGAGATGAATTTATGCAGTACCACTAGATTCCTGTGTCACGAACAATAAGAAACATGGTTAACATTGAATTAAGAGTGTCTTTTCCATGCCACAATTCTGTATAGAAAAATTCATATGATTAAGACTATAGAGACTTAAATAGACTACTAAAAAAGTTAAGTTTCCCCTTGGATGTAGCTGGTATCACATTATAACATATGAAAAGATTCCTATTGCTAGCAAACTTCAGAAACTATGTGACATATATGACTTAACATCATTAGAAAATATTAAATCAGATTACTCCAGGCCACTCTAAGCATGTGTAATTGTCACCTATGCTTTCTGAAATTGTGCTGGATGCCTACAGATGCCTTCTTGTCCCAACTTTGCTTTCATTCAAACAGCTCCTGGACTTTGAAATCCCTTACGCTTCTATCAGAGAAGACACACTACCTCCATGAAGTCTTCTTATGTTGATCAGTCCTCCCTAAGGTTGTTGACAGGTTCTTGGAAACTGAGACTTTAAGTGAACAAATTTCTTTCCCCTTGACAATGTTACAACAAAGTGATGTTGAATGAAATGACATTATTCAAGGACCTGCTGTATGTCATTTTGCATAAAGTTGCTGTTTCTGAGAACCTACTAATGACATCGAGGACTACTGTATTCTGCTCTCCTACTAATCTCCTCTACAAGTGACTCTCACAATTATTCTTCTAACCTCAAATATCTGCCTCATTTCTTTATTCCAAATATCTGCTGAATAATTACCATGTGCTAGGCTCTGTTCTAGACGCTGGTGACATATCAGTGAACAAAACAGCCTTATCTCACTCTATTATCTTTGATAAATATACTCACCTAGTAAAATTATCTCATAGAGTCACATGTAAGTACACAAATGATAAGTAGTACTTTTTTAAACACTGATAAAACATACCTTGGTAAGAGTGATTAGCAATCCTCTGATGGATGTCACGATGATTATTCCAACAAGAATGAAGGAAATGTGTTGGGACCAAAACTTCACCTACCACCATAATGGGAAGAAAATATCTGTTAAATCCATTCAGAGAGATGTGAAGGCTAAGATGTATTCTGATCACTTATGAGACTGTGAGAGGACCCTTATAAGGCCTTACTTGATTTTTTGTTTTTAAGGGAGGAAGGAATGCAAGCAAGTGGCAAATAAAATACCTATAGAAAGATTGCAGCGGATTTCTTTTATTTTTATTTTAAAGATGTGGGGCACAAGTCAGAATTCGGTACATAAGTGGTCTATGTACAGGTGAAGTTAGGGCCTCTGCAGTGGATTTAATTAGTGGACAATTAAATCTTAAGAATAGCAGTACAGAGAAGTGATAAAAGTAACACTAATAAATCAGAAAAAACACACAGCTAATAATATAGCTTTGCTGTGATAAGTGGAAAGCAAGAATGAAAAGGAAACTAACTCAACAGTAACTTATTTTAAATGTCAATAAACAACAGTTCTCTGATCACCCAAAACTTCAAGGAATCTTTCTTTTATAATAAAACAATATATAGCTATTCTCAGATAAGTTCTAGAAAATAGTTGAACTCCATTTGAACCACATGATTCCTTTTTCTCCTCCTCCATTGCTTCATAGTGAGAAGCGGTTTTGGGACGCTGTACTTGATTCAGTTCTGAAAAGCATCTGAGGGGCAGCTGCTATTACTAACATTATGAAATATGGAGGACATAGATAAAATATATACACAGCCATCAAGTATCCTCAGAAAGCACAGATAAGGAAGAAAATTTCTAAAATCTAGCCCGAAAAGAAGTTAAACGAGGAAAACATCGATGTAGCAATAGCAAAGCACACTTGACATAATTCATATACTATTTGAAGAAAAGATGCCATGCTCCTTCACATGCAAAGAGGATATACTATTGATCTAGCATCAAGAAGCATGTACTTTAAGCTATTTCTCAAGACTTGAGCTCAATTTTCCCTGATTCATTTTCATTTTATCCATTTCCTGTTGTGATCAGAGGTGGGTCTGGCTAAGGTGGATGCCTGGGGGTAGCATGAAGTCTGTGTCTGGGTTGACAGTACAGCTAAATGGCCTACACTAGGACTAAGAATGTGACATTGATATTTTTATTTCAGTGCTATTCAGCCAGAATCACTGGCCATATGTATTTCTAGAAAGTATACTAGTCTATGAATAAAGACATTGAATTTAAGTCGGGACAAAGGTATGTTTATCACAGTGACATTATGAAGCAGGTAGAAAGACAATTTTAAAAAAACACCTTTGTGCACAGGTGACAGTTACCATCTGTAGCTCAAGGTTCACATTAATTAACTGATAAAAGTCATTTTTTACAGCAGAAATCATTTCAGCGCTAACACAGAACACTACTTAGTAGTTAATTTTTTACTGAGGAATCAAAGATGAGTTGTGTGTTTGAAGAGCTCATCAGATATCACAGAGAGAAGTATATGAATACTTTAGCAGGGAGAAACTGTCAAAGTGGTAGCTAGTTACAGAGAAGTGGAACTGCAGAAACTAATCAGCATCCATGACAATAATAAGTACTAGTCATTACTTATAGTTTTATCTTAGGAAAGAGAATCTTGGCCTTCTGCAAATTTGCTGAGTATGTCAAAATATACAGAAGAGTAGGAAGAACAAAGGCAGAAGAAAGTATTTAAAGTATGGGAATTAGAATGTTAATAATTGTAAGTTTCAGCAGATAAAATAGGAAAGGGTATAACAAATCAGGATCTTGATATAATTCTTACATCAAATTGGATTCCAAGATAATTCACAGTGATCTCAATGCCTCTTGTAACAGGATCAGTTTTCCCAACTCGATCAAAAACGATATTGATGGTTGCCTACAAAGACATATACCCTTACATCAGAGAATCTTAACAATTATTTAATATTTCAAAAGTGATTTAAAACAATGAATGAATCACCATAATATCTCTTACAGGTCAATGTTCCTAAAAATGTAAATCACTCCCAATCCAAATCATATATAGGGAATCTACTTTGGCTACTCCTGCATAGGCACACAGAAGTTCCTTCCTACTCCATCTTTCTTTTCTATAAAGAGTCAAGGAGAATAAAGCCATGGCATATATGCTGTAATTTATCAGGAGACAGAAAGGTAACAATGGTAGATGAAGTCAGAGCAAGAGAATCAAGGAATTCCAGAGTCATTTCTTGTGGTTATTTTCTGAATGCTCCAAGAACAGTTATTAAAATAATAAAAAAGAAGTTATAGTCAATAAGCTAATAAAGGAGATCAAATGGAATCATGAAAATTACCCAACCAATCCTAAATGTGGTAGTTTAAAAATAGGAGAAAAGGAAATAAATAACAGGCAGGACAAATGAAAAAGAAACAGCAACACAGTAGTTTAAAACTCAACCATATCAATAATCACATTAAACATAAATGGACTAAGTAGGTTGAAGCCCTGCTTGTGCCACCGCACTCTAGCCTGGGCGACAAAACGAGACTCTGACTCAAAACAATTAAAAAAAAAAAAGTAAATGGTCTAAATAACGGGTCAGCAGACTGTGCCACTGTAGTGTGCAGTAGCCACAGACAATACATAAGTGGATGGGCTTGGCTGTGTTCCAGTAAAACTTTATTTACAAAAGCAGGCAGTGATTGGGTTTGGCCTGTAAGCTATAGATTACTGATCCCTGGTCTAAACATGCCAATGAAATGGCAGACAGCTGAACTGGACAAAAAAGCAAGACCCAATTTGCTTAAAAAACCCACTTTAAAAATATAAATAGATTAAAAATAAAAGGATGGAAAAAGATATATTATGCTAACACTAATCAAAAGAAAGATAGTATCTATATTAATATCAGACACAACAGATTTCATAGCAAAAAATATTGCCAGGCATTAAAAAGGTCATTTCAGAATGATAAAAGGATCAGTTCAACAAGAGGTATATGATGATTATAAATGTTTATGTACCTAAAACAGAGCTTCAAAATACATGAAGCAAAAATTGATAGAAATAAAGAAATAGGCAAATCCACAACAATTGTTGGATGCCCTCTTAATAATTGATAAAATTAGTCAGGAAATCAGTAAGGATACAGAAAAATTTAATAATACTATCAATTGACTTGACCTAATTGACATTTATTGAACATTCCTCCCAACAAGAGCAGAATACACATTCTACTCAAATACATACAGAACATTTTTCATGCTGTGGGAAATGTGACCATATTCTGGGTCAGAAAACAAGTCTTGATACATTTTTAAAGATTCATATCATATACAATATGTTCTTAAAGTACAAGAAAAGTTAAATTAGAAATCAAGTGGAGAATAATACTTGGAAGTTCTCAAAAGATTTTATAATACACTTCATATAAACCACGAGTAGGGGAAATTAGAAAGCATTTTGAACTAAATGAAAAATACAATTAATCAAAATTTGTGAGACACTATTAAAACAGTAAATAGCAAGAAATTTATAGTACTAAACCAACTATATGAGCAAAGTATATCTCCAACTCAATTATTTTAGTTTCCACCCTAAAAAATTAGAAAAAGCCAGGCACAGTGGTTAATGTTATAATCCCAGCACTTTGGGAGGCAGAGGCGAGAGGAGCCTGAGCCCACAATTTGAGACCAGCCTGGGCAACTTGGTGAGACCTCATCTCTACAATAAGTCAGAAACTTAGCCGGGCATGGTGGCATGCACCTGTAGTTCCAGCTACTTGGAAAGTTGAGGAAGAAGGATCAGCTGAGCCCAGCAGGTCAAGGCTGTGGTGACCGTGAGCATGCCACTGCACTCCAGCCTGGGCAACAAAGTGAGACTCCAACTAAAAAAAAAGAAATTAGAAAAGGACCCAAAATAAACAGGAAAGTTGATAATAAATATCAGAGCAGAAATCAATGAAATAGCAGAAAAAACAAGAGTGAAAATCAATAAACTCAAAAGCTGGTTCTTTAAAAAGTTCAATAAAATCAACGAATCTCTACTAGACTGAGTACAAGAGAACACACAGGTTACCAATATCAAGAATGTAAGAGATACTACTTCACACCCATGAGGATGGCTATAATAAAAAAGACAGATAATAACAAGTGTTAGTGAGGATGTGGAGGAATTGGAACCTTCATATACTGCTGGCCAGAATGTAAACCAGTGCTGCCATTTTGGAAGTCTGGCAGTTCTTCAAAAGGTTATACATATAGTTAGCATATAACACAGCAATTCTATCCCTAGGTGTGTATGCAAGAGAAATGAAAACATATATCCACATAAAACATACATGAAAGCTCACAACAGTATCATTGATAATGGCCAAGAAGGGGAAGCAAACCCAATGTCCATTAACTAATGAATGGTTAAAAAATGTGGTATATCCATAAAACTGGAGAAATATTACAGTCATAAAAAGGAAAGAACTATTGATGGACACTGTGACATGGATGAATCTTAAGAACACTGCTGGCCATTGCCTTGCTAAGCTATGATGTGGTCATGTGCTCTCTGAGCTATGGCCACATCATGTTTTCTTAAGCTTTGGTCCCCTCCCCTCCTTTGGGGAGGCGAATCCCCTCTTTCTCTCACTCCAATTTACTTTCTAAATAAACTATATTTTCTAATCTAAAAAAAAGGAATATTATGCTAAGTCAAGGAAGCCAATCACAAAGGAATATAAATTGTATTATTCCATTTACATGAAATGTCTAGAAGAGGGAAATCTATAGAAACAAAGTACATTAGTAGTTGCCAGGGGCTGTGGGAGTGAGAATTGGAAGGAAATGAGGAGTGACTGCTAATGAGTATGGAACTTATTTTTGGCTTGATAAAAATGTTCAAAAATTGATTGTAGTGGTGGTTGTACAACTCTGTGTACATACTAAGAACTACTGAATTGTACATGAAATGAGTAAATTGTATTATATGTGAATTATATCTCAAAACAGGCTTATATGAAAGAAAGAAAGAACAAGAGGGGGTGACACTGCCACAGATTCTACATATATTACAAGGATAATAAGGGACTATTATGAGCAACTTCATGCCAATAAATTTGACATCTTCAATAGAAATGGACAAACTGCAAGAGCTCACGCAAGATGAAATAGATATTATCTGAATAAACCCTATATCTTTCAATAAATTGAATTTGCAGTTAAGAAAACTTTCCTGCAAATAAAACTCCAGGCCTCATCTGGCTTCACTGATACATTCTAGCAAACACTTAAGGAAGGTACAATAACAACTCCTTACAAACTTTTCCACTGATTAGCAGGGGTGGCAATACGTAACTCATTCTCTAAGGGTAGCATTATTGACACCCCAAACCAAATAAAGACATTACAAGAAAAGAAAACCATGGTCCAAAATCCTCATACATATAGATGCAAAAATTATTTTTTTATTTTTATTTTTTATTTGAGTTGGAGTCTCACTATGTCGCCCAGGCTGGAACAAAAATTCTTTTTTAAAATTTTATTTATTTATTTTTATTATTTTATTTTATTTATTTATTATAAAGATGTGGGGTACAATTCAGGGCTAGGTATACAAACATTGATCATACAGGAACCCTTGTTGATGAGGTATGACTCTCCCTCCCCTAGCAGTTTCCCTCAACTGCCAGTCCCATCCCCCTTCCCCTGATAGTTTTCCACTACTGCCAATCGCTTTCTTATAGCATTATAATTGTTCAAGGTCACCTTATGAGTGAGAACATATGGAACTCAGTTCTTTGTTCCTGTGATAAATCGCTGAGTATGACTGACTACAAATCCATCCAATTTGCTGCAAAGTCCATATATTTGTCCTTCTTTATGGTTGCATAAGCAGGCAGAGATCCAAATAAAAAGCACAATCCCATTCACAATAACCACCAAAAAAATAAAATACCTCAGCATCTTCCTAACCAGAGAAGTGAAAGACCTTTACAATGAGAATTACAAAGCACTGCTCAAAGAAATCCAAGAAGACACAAACAAATGGAAAAATATCCCATGCTTATGGATAGGAAGAATCAACATTGTTAAGATGTCCATCCTACCAAAGGCAATCTACAGATTCAACGCAAGGCCCATTAAGTTACCAACATCATTCTTCTCAGACCTGGAAATGACAATACAGAAATTTATATGGGAACATAAATGACCTCGAATAGCCAAAACAATCCTTAGCAAAAGAAACAAAGCAGGAGGTATCACACTTCCAGACTTCAAACTTTACCATAAGGCTACAGTAATCAAAACAGCCTGGTATTGGTACAAGAACAGGCACATAGACCAATGGAACAGGATAGAGATTCCAGAAGCAAAGCCCCAATTCCTCAACCAACTCATCGTTGACAAAGCCTCCAATAACAACCACTGGAACACCAATTCTTAACACAATTTTGGCAAACTGAATAAACAAAATATAAAAATGATAATTCACCACCACAAGTAAGCTTTATTAAGGAATGTAATCCACTATAATAGCAGAGTAAAAAAGAAAAAAAAAGAACATAAGAGTATCTCAATAGATGCAGAAAAAGCATTTGACAAAAACCAACACTTTTTTGTGATTAACAATACAATAAACTATTATTAGAATGGGGAACTTCTTCAACTGGCTAAAAGGCATCTAAGAAAAGCTAAGAGTTAACAGCATACTTAATGGTAAAAAACTGGTTGCGATCTCCTTAAGATTAGGAATACAGTAAGTCTCCAACATCCTAACAAGTTCTTTTCCGAGGGTGTATTCATAACTCCAATTTATTTGTAAGTTCAACAAAGTTAGCCTAGGTACCCAACTAATACAAAGTATCAGCTACATCACTGTTGCTTTTACACTTAATTTCAGACATCCTGGGTTTGAAACAAATATACTGTACTACTGTGTCTATACAGTACTGTAAAGTACACAAAAGCACAACTACTTGTAGAGGATGCATGCATGTGACAATGTATGCCAGGCATTACTCAACATCATTAGGCATTAGGGAAATAAAGGTTTGGATCTTTTTTCAAAAGTTAACATTCATCTGCCATATGATCCAGATATTCCAATCCTAAGAGCTTTCCCAAGAGAACAGAGAGCATATGGCCATACATAACACTTGTATACAAATGTTCACAGCAGCTTTATTTGTAATGCTCCAAACTAGAAACATCCAAACATCTATCAGTAGGTGAATGGATAAACAAACTGTGGTACATCCAAACATGGAATATTACTCAATAATAAAAAAGAATAAACTACTGATACACACAATAACATGAATAACATTTAAAATAATCATGCTGAGTCAAATAAGCCAAACAGAAAAAGGATATATACTGTAGGATTCTATTTACATAAAACTCTAGAAAATACAAACTCATATATAATGACAGAAAGCAGACTGGTAGTCGCTTGGGACTGGGAATATGGGAAACAGGCATGAACAATGGGGCCCAGGGCAACTCATGGAAGTGATAGATGGCTATGTTCTCTATATTGAATGCAGTGAAGGTTGCTGCACAGGTATACACATGTCAAAACTTACCACACTGGACACTTTAAATCTGTGCGGTTTATTAATATCAATTCTATGCCAATAAAACTGTTAAAAATGACATGTTCCCCTAAAGGCTACATCTCAGGAAAAACCTTCGAGTAGCTTAGCTGACTGAACACACCATCCTCATGCAACACACTATCTTCATTCATCTTCTCCTACTCAATGAATCAAGATTTTGAAGTGTCATCTGAGCAGTACTGACATCAATTTCTTATAACATTAGATCCATTAAACCCCAAATCCCTCATTCATCTACATTGATCAAAATTAACTAACTAGCTGACAAAGCTCCTCTTTGTGCAAACGCAGCCCCAGTAGGAAAGTCATCAAACCAGAAAGTCAAATCAGCCTTTTCTATAATCACACTGAAATCCATTAATACCTGCAGATGAGTCAGAAGCAAAGACAAATACTGTACACAAAATGCACATAAAGAAAAAAATACTAAAGGAAAGCCATAAAAAAATAAAAGCTCTAAGCTTAGAAGATGAATTTATCTAAGGAAATAAATTTTAGAATTTACTTTGAATTTAATTCCTTAGATAGCCAGATTACTAAAAAGAAGTAGCTTCTGTTCTGAGTTAAAGGTAGGAATTGAGGTTATACCTTATCGACAAGGGTGCCTGAATGAAGCATATTTGTACACCTAACCCTAAACTGTACCCCATAACATCAAAATAAAAAATACTGATATAAAAAAAATAGAATTGAGGTTATATACAGTCACATACTCATTGGACATGCAGAAAGCTGAGTGTAAAATAAATATTCACATCCGATTCATACATTTCATAAACTAAGGACTTATTAATGATTTTTGACAGAAGAAAAATGCAACTACCCTTTCCTGGGTCATCTAAAAAAGAGAGAGGAAAAAGAAGAGGCTCAGAGATGTGAAAGATCCCATTCTCTGTTGACTCAAATTGGGAATTTAGTTCAATGTATCAGTCAAGCCCACTCTTATCACCATGCCATTGAGAAAAACACCTAAACCCTGACAGTTGAAAATAATATACTTACCATGAAAATTTTCCAAACACAGTAAATAGAGAAAAAATAACCCAGGAAATTAAAATATTTCCCCTTGAAAGTTTTGGAGTATTCTATTCTCTCCTGAGGGAAAACAAACACAAAACATGGTTTGTCTCAGCAAAATATAAATTTATATTTGATACAAGTATTCCTCCTTCTATAAATCATTGTTCAGGCTGAGTCAAAAAACCACATGATATTAAACTAATAGTAGTAGTAGTGGCCAGCATATACTGAATGCTTACTTTAAGCCAGAGACTGGGACAAATATTTTATATGCATTATCCACTTTAATCTTCATAACAGCACTTATGAGATATTTTCTATTATTTTAATTTTACAGATGAGAAAACTGAGGCTTTGAGAGGTTAAATAACTTGCCCAAGTTCACACAGCTGGTGAATAGGCTCAGGTCTACCTGTTCCCAAAGCCTACGTTAGCCTTTATCCTCTAGGCTACCCTGTGAAGGTACTCTCAAAAAGAATTAAAATAGTTTGCAACCTACACTAACAGATTTTGCACATTTAAATTACATTGTATTTTAGGTGTGTATAGGAAAGGTACTACTTCTTGCAGTTAGGACAAGTTATCCCAGGTCAGTAGAAGTGGTGTGTGCCACTTTCCTAGATGTTGAAGAACCTCTTCTGACTATACTACCAATTGCTATCACTAAGGGTGTTCCATTAAGGATCTAGCAATAGGAGCCATTTCATGAAGAGTGCAGACCCCTCATCCCTAATACTTCAGGGCTGATGTTTAAGCTGTGAGGTGTCTCTCGCTTGGCCAGAGAGGGTACTAAAAAATCATTTAGTCTTGTTCTCTCTATAATCATATTGGTAAAAACCACACTTCAGTTCCTTGCTCTGTACCTTGGTAGCATATAGATCAGCTGTTTCCAGAAAAAGCTGCCTGCTTAGTTCTTCCAAAGCATCCACTTCTTGTTGAATAAGAGTAAGATCTGGCACAAAATGGGCATCAAGGTTTAAATCACATAGAAATTTCAAGAAATGGCAATGAAGAAAGCATATGCTTTTGGTTGCTCTTAGTTGACCGGGGATCCCAGGAATTGCCTGTATGTTCAATTTCCTGTTTCATAGTTAGCAGCATGTGCTATTCTGAAAAATATTCCCAAACTCTGACACAGCTGTGTCAAAGCTTCTCCATTGAGTGTATCATCACCAAACACCTACCATTCAGTTTCTTCCAAGTCAAGTGGCTCAGACAGGTTTCCTATGTGTTTCATTTATCTAGTTAGATTAAATCAAATATAATCTTCAAGATCACAAATGGTTAAATAATAACACATAATAAAGCATAGCTTCTGCCTACATTATCTGAATAAATATACAGTTAGAAAAGAGAACTAATATTTACCGTGTTCTAATGTAGGCTACAATTTATAGAAATTACCTTCTTTAGTTTTTTAGAGATTATCATCTTTTATTCTCAAACAGTCCTATGAGACAAGTGTTATTATCCATTTTTCAGATAAGGAAAGTAAAGCTCAGAGAGTGAAATAACTTGCTCAAAGTCACACAGCTAATTGGTGTGGATGCAAAGTCAGATCTGCCTTACTTCCAAGGCTCGCTCTTTCCATTACACTATTCACTTTTCTAAGAACTCAATCAGGTAGAGTTATTATTCTCTGTTTGAAAAGCTCAGAGAGGTTAAATATTCCTTATATGTTTGTTGACTTATCATCATTAAAATAACTCAAACCTGTACTATTGACTTTTATGGACAACCCCTTCTAAACTGGAAGTATTGACTTTAATACAAATCCTCTCTCCTTTCTGATTTTTTCCCACTATTACCCAAGCCAGCAAGTGCCCTTCAGTTCCTTCCACAACAGTGGATACTACTAGCATAGTCCAGGTCACTGAACAATACGGTTACCTCATTACATGTCTGTTTCCCATGAATAGAGAGCAAGCTTTTTGAGGACAATGTTTATTATTACTCTATTCATCATTTTGTCCCTTAGCATTTGGCCTGGAAATAGGGGATACAAAATAAATGTTTTTTTGATTAAACAAATCTAAATTAATAATTTTTCTTTTCATCCATAATCATCCTGTCTTCCTTTGATCTTATATTCTTATCTGCATTTGACACTAAAAGGACATAAGTCATAATTTAGAGCAAGAATAGACTACATTCTCCTCTAGTTAAACTAAAATGGAATTTGTACTTCCCTGGGTCACAGAAGGAAACAGGAGCATGTTATTTTATGCCTCATTCCCTAAAGCTTTGACCCAATAGCTTGGGAGCCACATAGAAATTTGGTTACCTAATTTAGGAATTAGTTCAACATCATAACCAGTCAAGCCAAGAACAATTTATTAATCTAATCTCCTTGATTATTAAGACCCAAAAGTCACTTGAAAAGTAGAGCTACTTAAAATTTGTTTAGGAATACTCATTACTTTAAGAAACAAGCTCTTACCATCTCGTATACAAACCATCCATTTTGGGGAGTCATTATGCTTTGTGATGGTTTTTCAAAGTTGAGAAATATAATAGTGTAATGGACAGTACCATGAAGAGGAGACCACAGTTCTGTTCCTAGTTTTGCCATAAACTACTGTGTGACAACCTCTCTGGGTCTATTTTCTCATCTGTAAAATGGAAAGACTGACTTTTTTATTTTTGAGTTGGAGTCTCACTCTGTCGCCCAGACTGGAGTGCAATGGCCGCTCCCGGCCTCCACAGCCTCGACCTGCTGGGGTCCGGCGATCCTTCCACCTCAGCCTTCCAAGTAGCTGGAACTACAGGTGTGCACTACCACGCCCAGCTGATTTTTGATTTATTGTAGAGATGAGGTCTCGCCAAGTTGCCCAGGTGGGTCTCGAACCCGCGGGCTCAGGCAATCCCCTCACCTCAGCCTCCCAAAGGCGTGGGATTACAGGCTGAGCCATTGAGCCCGACTAAGACTGACTTTTTAAGGCTCCTTCAGCTCAAAGACAATGATTTTATGATCTTTTTAAAAAAAATGTATTTATTTATTTATTATAGAGACAGGGTCTTGCTATGTTGCCTAGGCTGATTTCACACTCCTAGCCTCAAGTAATCCTCCCACCCCAGCCTCCTAAAGTCCTGGAACTACAGGCATGAATCACTGTGCTTGGCCTTTATGATCTTATATGGATGCCAGAAAGACAACTCTGTACACATTGTATTTCTTAAACCTAGCCCTTAGGAGTTTGGACTCTGATGCAGTCAGGTACTTTAGAAGGGACTATTCCCAATACTACTTTTTTCTTCTGCCTTTGGTCCAGAATTGAGAAAAAGAATGAAGCAGAGGGACAAAGGATACTTTCACTTCCTGGAGCTGAGGTGGTAACACTTCTTATCATTCCCCAGAATCCTGATGGTTTATTATGCACCTCCCCTTTCTGGAACATAGTTCTCCGTGCCATTGCCATCCTGAAATGAAAGAAAATATAAAACCTCAGCAAGGAAGCATGGGACCTCATAGTCCAGTCTCACAACTGCCTCTCCCATGTGTGACCTGTGAAGGGGAAAATGACAACTCTGGAGTCCCACTATTCTACTACTTACACCTAAAGGGAAACTGCAGAACCAATGTGGCCTGGGTGACGAAGCACAGAATTTGCAGTAGGCAATAAATCTAAGGATTGGCTCTGCCAATGGAACTAAGGCTGTGAGGCCTTGGAGTTTCCATTTCCTCATCTCTGGATGGTTGTGAAAATGAATGAAATAATATATAAGAACTCATGTTGCCAGCTACATAAGTAGCCAGTTATTGTAGTTATCACTGAAGAACAAAATAAAATAGGTTGACATACCTAGCTAGAGGACAAGGTACACAGTAAGAACTCAACAAATGTTTTCTTCCTTCCTTTTTAAAAGCAATCAAAAGGAAAAAAAAAAAAGCCAAATCACATAAACCTGTCCCCTTCTAAAATATTAGTCTTTATCTATTTCTAATCCCTTCACTCACTGTAATCTGTCCTACTACTAAATAAATCAACAGGAAACCTACCATTGCTTCCTCTTGTCTTCTTAGTCTGTGGAGGACCCACTGGCACAGTGGTAGCTACTGGCATGTTCCAGCCCACCACAAATGTATTAAGAATAGAGCCTCTATAAGGCTAAAATATAAGATATTCCATAAATGATTACTTGAAGGGTTTAATAGGGCCAAGGCCTACTGGCCTAAAATGAATCAGGATAAGTTTAATAAAAATAGAGTAGCAGTACTAAAGAAAAATTTAACTCAAAGAGGATATTTTTGGGCACAAGAGATAAAAATGGTAAAGAGGAAGAAGCAGTGTTGATATTTATGGCTAGGACTAACACAAATGATATTAATGGTACCAAACACCAAATGGTATTTCTATGGGCTAAATTCTTTAAGCCACTAGCTAAAATGATATTACCAAGATTGAATATTGGGTGTATCAGTCATATTAACTTAACTTTTTCTCCTTAAAATATCCTTCACCTGGACAATGAGTGAATGAAACACAGTTCCAAGTTTTAGCTCTTCCTGCCTTTCTTCCAACCATACAGATTTTGGGAAGATGTAATAAATAACCAAGAAGAGGCTCAGACCTAGGGAGATTCTGACTTGGTAAGGCTTGGTAATTCTTAGTTTTTCTATTTCCATAGTTGAGAAGGCTAGGATATGTACACGAAGAAGGAAGGTTGTCGCTCTACTCATTTAACAGCTCATTTTGGCTTAATGTGTTGGATTAAAGGAGAGGCAGTTGGGAAAGAGGGAGCACAGAGACCATTTCTGTTGTCCTTATTTTCAATATCTATAATACAAAACATTAATGGCTGGCTGTGGAGTAGAACTGGTTGAATATATAAAGGTGACTCACAATGTACTGTGGTCTCATGACAGGCAAGGAAGTATAACCACTAGAAGTGAAAGTTAGCTGTACATAGACGAGCAGGGCCTGTTTTAAACAATTCACCTTCACTTTCAATTTTATCAAGAACATATTGATTAATTCTTACCAATTTCACTCTTATCAAATAAGTTGCATAAGAAAAGGAAACAGTCCTACATTTAAGAAGAAAAGGTAACAATATTAAATTTTCTGAGATGTAGTGAAAATGAATTAAAAAAACCCAAATACAACGTACTATGGAACCCGATCATCTTCATCTTCACCGTTTCTTCATCATCATCACCACTACCACCACAGTGATTGCCATCACTATTGCCTCTTTATAACAAGGGTAGCTCACAACAAGAAATTATCTATGTTATTAGCTGAATGTCATTTAAAAATTCTTAATATGGGCCACCTGCAGTGGCTCAGGCCAGTAATCCCAGCACTTTGGAAGGCTGAGGTGGGAGGATTGCTTGGGCCCAGGAGTTTGAGACCACCCTAGGCAGCACAGCAAGACTTTGTTTCTACAAGAAAAAAAAAAATTAGCCAGGTACGATGGTGCACACCTATAGTTCCAGCTACTTGGGAGGCTAAGGCGGGAAGATTGCTTGAGCCCAGAAGTTTGAGGTTGCGAGTAGCCCTGATCATGCCACTGCACTACAGCCTGGATGACAGCATGAGACCTTGATTCAAGAGAAAAATATTCCTAATATGAAAAAAAATGTATTTGGCTGAAGTGGTGGTATTATACAAGAGAAGAAGAAGAAAAAAAATCTACTAAGGGTTAAATGTCATTCTACTGCTTTCTGGTCTCTGGTTTCTGGTGGGACTTTTCTCTTTAATTAAACTAGTTGAGATAATTGTAGATTCATATGAAGTTTTATGAAAAAATACAGACAGATTCCAAGCACCCTTTACTCAGATTTCCCCAATGGAAACATCTTGAAAACTATAGTACAATTATACTGACATTGATAGAGTCATGATACAGGCCATTTCCATCACTACAAGCTGCCCCTGTACAGTCCATATCCCTCCCACTCCAACTCTTCCTCAACTCCTAGCAGCCACTAATCTGTTCTCCATTTCTGTAATTCTGTCATTTCAAAAATGTGCATATAACTAGAATCATACAGTTTATATTCTATGGGGATTGACTTTTTAAACTCAGTGTAATTCCCTGGAGATTCATTCAGGTTGTTGTGTGTATCAACTGTTTGCTCATTTTTATTGCTAAGTAGTGTTCCACGGTATTAATGTATCACTCTTTGCTAAACTCTTCAGCCTCTGGAGGATCTGGGTTATTTCTAGTTTGGGGTTACTATAAATAAAGCTGATATAAACATTCGTGTACTGGTCTTGAGTTAATATAAGTCTTCATTTCTCTGGATAAATGCCTATGAGTGCAACTGTTGAATGTGGTGATTGCATGTTTAGCTTTTTAAGAAATGGCTAACCTGTGTTCCAGAGTTACTGTACCATTCTACATTCCTACCAGCAATGTATGAGTGATCCACTTTCTCGGAATCATTTGGTATTTTAATTAATTTTTATTTTAGCCATTCTGATTGTTGTGTAGTGATATTTTACTGATGTTTTAATGGCCTGTTCATATGTAGACACCATCTGCCATTTGTATATCCTCTACAATAAAATGTCTGTTCATGCTTTTTCCCATTTCTTTTCTTTTCTTTTTTTTTGAGCCAGAGTTTCATTCTGTCATCCAGGCTGGAGTGCAGTGGCATGCTCGTGGCCACCGCAGCCTTGACCTGCTGGGCTCAGGCAATCCTTCCACCTCACTCTTCCAAGTAGCTGGAACTACAGATGTGCGCCACCATGTCTGGCTAATTTTTCTTGATTTATTGTAGAGACGAGGTCTCACCAAGTTGCCCAGGCTGGTCTCAAACTCCTGGACTCAGGCAATCCTCTCGCCTCAGCCTCCCAAAGTGCTGGGATTACAGATGTGAGCCACTGCACCTGACCTTTTGTCCATTTTCTAATTGTACCTTTAATATATATATATATAAGCTCTGAAGGTATTTTATTCTAGATACTAGTGCTTTCACAGATATGTGGTTTGTAAACATTTTCTCCAAGACCGTAGCTTGCATTTTCATCCACCTTAACAGAGCACTTAACAGGGCACTTTACAGAACAAAAGTTTTAATTCTGATGGAGCCAAACTTCTTAATTTTTAATGAACTGCACTTTTGGTGTCAAGTCGAAGAACTTTCTGCCTAGTCCTAGATTCCAAAGACTTTCTCCTATGTTTTTATTTTCTAAACACTTTAAAGTTTTACACTTAAGTTCATTATCTGTATTTAGCTAATTTTTATATAAGGTGTGAAGCAGATTCAGATTCATTTTTTGGCCTATGGATGTCTAACTGCTCCAGCACCATTTGGTAAAAAGGTTATCTTAATTCTACTGAACTGTCTTTTTATCTTTGCCAAAAATTAGCAGGGCATATTTGTGTCAATCTATCTCTGGGTTTTCTTTTCTGTTCCATTGATCTATGTCTGCCAATACCACATAGTCTTAATTACTGTAGTTATATAATAAAAGTTTTGAAATCAGGTAGATTGCTCCCATTTTGTTCTCTTTCAAAACTGTTTTAGCTATTCTAGTTCTTTTGCCTTTTCATGTGAAGTTTAGAATAAATTTGTATGTATCTACAAAAAAAATCTTGCTGGTATTTTGAAATGGATAACATTAAACTTTTATATCAATTTAGAAAGAACATCCTTACTATGTTGAGCCTTCCAACCCATAAACACAATCTGTCTCTTCATTAATTTACATATTCTTTGATTTCTTTCATTCGTTTTTAAATTTTCAGCATGTAAGTCCTGTACATATTTTGTTAGACTTACAACTGAATATTTTTTTTTTTGAGTGATTGTTAGTAGTATATTTAAAATTTTGATGTCTACATGCCCATTGCTAGTATACAGAAACACAACTTTTTTGAGATGGAGACTCAATATGTTGGGCAGGCTGGATTCCAACTCCTGGGCTCAAGTGAACCTTCCACATCAGCCTTCTGAGTAGTTGGGAGAATAGGTGAATGCTACTGTGCCTGACTACAATTTATTTTTGTGTGTAGTTTGTATTCTACAAAACTGTTGAACAACCATTACTTTTTTCATTGTTCTCCTGCTGCCTCAAGATTTTCTCTTTGTCTTCTAGAAGTTTGACTGTATGTAAGTAGGTGTAATTTTCTTTTGTGTTTATCCTACTTGTAGTTCTTTGAGCTTTTTAAATCTGTAAATAAATGTTTTCTACCAAACTTAGGAAGTTTTATGCCATTATTTTTTCAAATACTTTTCCTGCCCCTTTTCCTTTCTTCTAGGAATCCAACTATAAGGAGGCTGAACTGCTTAATATTGTCTCATACTGAGACATCTGTTCATTTTTCATCAATCTTTTGTCTATTTTTCAGACTGAATAATTTTTATTGATCTATCTTCAAGTTTACTGATTCTTCTGCCATTTAAATTCTGCTATTATGGCCATCTAGTAAAATTTTTATTTCAGTTACTACAGTTTTTGAATTTC